AGATTAAAAACATCTAGTGTTTATAACTTACCCTAAATGTAGAGTTTAAATTGAAGTAGTCAGGATCTGGGAGAGAACCATCTTTAGATTCTTCACCATAATCGCCTCCCTCTTGTAAAAAATATTATGCAAATGTTTAGGATACTATAAATTGACTACAATGCTTAAAGAATCAAAATATAGTCCCGTTTTAAAATTGACGATTATAAATGGAAGATCCTTCTTGGAAGACTGTTTGGGGGAGGTTTGGCAGCCCTCTGGGGACGTGCACTGCCGCAAATAAATAAAATGAGGTTCAGAAGCTGTGCGGGGGAATTGTTGTATTCCCTCTCTCCTCTGACTCCTCTGAGCGCTCAGCGTTAGAAGTTTTAAAATATCATAATTAATTTCTCTTCCGTACTTTTTTCGCAAAATTTACGCATTTTCCCCCTCCAAAATTGCGTTTTTTCGTGGAACAGATTAAAGCAAAATTTCGCGAAAAAAACACGAAAATTTTCGCATTTTCGCCAGCGAACGATCTATGCGAAAAAATGCTAAATTTATGGCAAAATTCTTTTTTACGCGAAATGATTTTCCCTTTTCACCATGGAGTAATTGGAGGGGGGGTGTAAACCGTCTAAAGCCCCAGCCCATACACACTACCCTATTTACCAAATTACGTATTTCACCAACGGTTCGTAAATACCCCTATTTTTCGTAAAATACTCGTACGCAAATTCGAAAAAATTTCGTAGGAAAATTAACGCTGTTTTGCACATTTTGAAAAATAAAATTGTGCTTGGATCCGGATCCGTGGATCTGCATTTTTTGCGGATCCGGATCCAGAGAGCCAAAATAATGCGGATCCAGCGGATCCGGATCCGGATCATAAGCACTGGTTTGTTGTTAATTGAGTGTCTAAATTTTTGTGTCAAGATTGCTGCTCAATACTATTTATGTCTTTCATAACGGAGCTGTCGATACTTAAGATCTCAATTTTATATATTCCTGAGCAAGTAGAGAGTATAAAGCGAAAAGCCACTTGTTAACCCTGTGATTTTATTTTATAAAGATATTAACGTTGTGTTTTTTTCAATAAAAGTTTGAAGAAGAAGAAGAATTGAGTGTCGACCTTAGCCATATATAGTTCAAAATCATATATTTATCTATAGTCCCACCTAGACGTTCATTCGCCCATCCGTTTGTAAATTCCTGTTGTACGATTTTAGAACCCTGCCCCCCCCCCCCTCTACTATAAATTTTGCACATGGAACTCATATACGTTACACATGTTCAAAGTTTGACATGTGGCTGTAGCGCCCATCCTTCTAGCCTGTCCTAGCCGCGGCACTCGGCACCCTAGCCTATTCTAGCCGCGGCGCTCATGGTCCCTTAGCCTGTCCTGGCCGCAGTGCTCGGTCCGTAAATTGTCTTTACCAAACCTAACCATGAAATAATAGAAAATAAATATTGTTCATTTTGTTCAAATGGTCTTGTAGAAAATTGAAAAATTCTCTTTTTACTTTCCTGTAAAGTGATGTAATATCTATTTATGTCATTGTAATGGGTATTATTAAGTCCAAAACAGTTTTTGCCGGGATTTTTATTTTTTCTAGTTTGTTAAGATCAAAATAAAAGTATTTTCACACCGATCCCGGCAAAAACTTTTTCGTACGCATGATACCCATTTCAATAACATATTTAGTTTTATTCAGTTTTACTCAAATTATTTAAAAGCAGGTCGATAAAGTTACGTAATCACCCGGTTGTAGGGTGATTAAGTAACTTTATCACCCTACAATGAGACAAATTAGGCATGCCATTTGAAATTTTAATAGCAGGGTGAAAAAGTTACTTTGCACCCTGTTGTAGGGTGATTAAGTCACATAATGACCCTACGACGGGAAATATTAGGTGAGATAAATTCCATCTAATTATATCTGAATTCAGATGAATAAATAAAATGGGATGGAAAGAGATTTTGCTAGATCTGGAGGAAAGAGGAAGAAATACTTTAAAGAATATCGAAGATGAAGACACGCTTAGAATTACAAGTATAATAGAAAGTTCAAATCTTTTGAAATGAAAAAATACTTTTTTATTCCCTTCTGATTCCCTAAAAAAAAAATTGATTTAGAAATTGATTTTCAAAGTTTAGCGAAACTTTTAGAACTTTTTTCTTCCAATAAATAGATTTAACCTCGAGGACAACAAAAATGAAGCATTTCTTTTTTTGTATCTTCTTTTCATATTGTATACAGGATGAGTAAAAAAATGGGATTAGTGCCGTCTTTTGAAATATCATACTTTTTTCTTTGGAATTTACATTTTTGTTTATTTTAAAAGTATTTTTTCAGTTTTATTGAAAAGTCGAAAAAAAATCTGCAAAACTTTTGTTCTACTCTTAAACCCAAAAGTATAGAAAAGCAAAGATGACCTGAGTTACAAAAAAATTTAAAATTTTTAAAACAAACAATAAAAATACCTTATCACGAATTTTTGAATCACCCTTTGGCTCCCCTTCACTCATCCATATTTAACACATAGATGACCATACATGAGTGAAAGGGAGCTAAAAATGGTTGCATGCCTCAAACTTGGTCGTGTTGCTGGGATCATTTCGCCAAATTAAAACAATTGATTCATTAACGGTTAAACATTAAACAAATCCGGGCTGAAAACCCACCTCTTAGTCAGGACTTGAAACTCCAAGCTGTAGAGTGGAGCCTAAAGCTTTCCCTAACACTCATGATTTGATTTGATTTGATTTACAATGTACATATTTATACGGCAAAGAAATATTAATTCTAATTGAATTTTTTTTTTAGTTTGGTTGGGAGTTGCAACAATAATCTTTATCTTGTACCGCTATAGTTATAAGAAGAACAATCCAGTCGATCAAAACAAAGGTTTGTATAAAGCAGGGGCGTATGCAGGAATTTGTCATGTGTGTGTGTGGGGGGGGGGGGCTCACCCCGTGGGGGGCCGGATTTCGCCAAAAAACATGGTGTTCACTTCTCCAGAGAGGGGGGGGGCTTCTACTATATAGTCGTTCCCTTCTTTACACTACAACATTACAACATTCTTTATTTTCTTCTTTTAATTTTTAAGTTTACATCATGAAACAATAACAATTAAAAGGTGTTATAGCTTCACAGCCTTTCTTAGATTACTGCAAATATTTAAAATTTAGAAGAATCGAAAGTTTGAATGCATAGTTCGATTCTTGAAGATCCTGTAGTTAAAATCTTCAAAAATTACTGACGATCTTCGACATAAACGGATTAATTAATTCCGCTTCGATACCTTGTTGGTCAGACCCTTCAGGATCAAACACTTATCATCAAATTAAAAAGTGCCCTCATTGGATATCTTTATACTTAAATTTTTATATTTAATTTAGTTAATTTGAGATATAATTAGATGTTGTTAAAGAGATGAAGGAAAAGGTCCAGGAGATTAAAGAGTTTGTAATTCCAAGGTACTTTTTATTTACAGATGGATAATGTAGTTTTTATGTACAGATGGATAGTGTAGTTTTTATGTACAGATGGTTAGTGAAGTTTTTATGTGCAGATGGTCAGTGTAGTTTTTATTTACAGATGGATATTGTAGTTTTTATGTACAGATGGTTTGTGTAGTTTTTATGTACAGATGGATAGTGTAGTTTTTATGTACAGATGGTTAGTGTAGTTTTTATGTACAGATGGATAGTGTTGTTTTTATTCACAGATGGATAGTGTAGTTTTTATGTGCAGATGGATAGAGTTTTTATGTGCAGATGGATAGTGTAGTTTTTATGTGCAGATGGATAGTGTAGTTTTTATGTACAGATGGTTAGTGTAGTTTTTATGTGCAGATGGATAGTGTAGTTTTTATGTGCAGATGGTTAGTGTAGTTTTTATGTGCAGATGGATAGTGTAGTTTTTATGTCCATGCAGATGGACAGTTTATGAACATAGGTACAGATTTAGTATGTACAGATGTGCTTTACAGTAAAACAATTTATGAACAGAAGCACAGTTTATATATAGATGTATAGTTAACACTTTATATATAGATGTATTGTTAACACTTTATATATAATAATAATAATAATAATAATCGCTGTCAAACCTTCAACCTAGGTTGTAGGCTTGAGCTCCCTCCGTTTAAGTTCCAATGAATCAACCCAGTTATGAGCTGGGTGTAAATTCAGAGGTGGGAGACAAGCCCATGGCGGTCTGCCCTTGACCCTTCTGTACACCCTCAGATGTATTGTTAACACTTTATTTTAAAAAGATAAGATAAAGTTTATACCTAAAATACATGTATCTGTATACAGAACGAGTTTACAAATTGATAATTATTTTAACAGTACAAGTATAAAGCAATTAAGTGGAAAATAGCTCTTGGCTGTTTAATCTCATGAAATAAGTCCCCGCTCTGTACAGGCAACCCCAGAGGTTCCGGAAGAGGGACCGTGTCATGTTCTACGGAAGAAAGATGATGAGGAGAGTGGAGGATAACATGAAGCAGCTCGAGGATGTCAGGAATAAGATTTAGAATTAGAATTTAGATTTATGAATTGGGGTAGGGTGGTTTATTTTGTCGACAAATCATTTTTTCTTCCCCCCCTGAAATCATTTTTTTAAAGAAAATATATATATAGTTTAATTCGCTGAATTTGGGGAAATAGATTAATTTTTAGGTAAAAAGTATCAAAAATTATGAAAAAAGTTGCCTGTAGATGTCATTGTACAATTTTTAATTTTGTCCCCCCAAATCATCAAAAAACATTCCATCCTCTCTGGGAGATAATTCTGAGAAATATACATCCCTGAAAGGGAGTGAGGTTGTGCGGGATGGAAAAGTTAACATTGTTTTCTTTTTTTTACAAAATAGGAAAATGGAAGATTTCGAATTTTTAATATTGTGGATTAAATCTTAACATTTCTAACAGGCAAAAAAATCAAATACAAGGGAAAACTATGATCAAGAAATTTTCTAAAATATTCATAGGTAAGTTGAATTTAAATTATTGTAATATCCTAATTAAAACTTAGTATTGTGGAAGCAGTAGTCTGATTTGATTCAATTCAAATCATTTAAATCATTTAAATTGAGTTTTATTTTATCAGTAAAAAATTTTAATAGTTTTTGACTATTTTTAATCGGTCCACTAATATTTCTTGAGATTTGTTTTCGAACACGAAATAAAATATTTATGGAAAAATTTATATTCCTCTTGTACTAAAGGTAATCCCGATGCTTTGGGGGAATTTTTTTTCATTTACTAGTCAGATGTCCCACCATCTTGATACTTTTCACCTTCTTAAAACTTTTCACTCAAAAATTAATACATTTTCTTCTGAATATGAATTTTGTTCCCCAATTTCGCAAATAAAATCCTAAAAATTGGCGAAAAAACATAATTTTATCACTGGGAGATTGGGAGAAACATTACTTTTTTAAGAAAATAGATACCCCTGAACATACTCCATGGAAAAGGACCTTTGAATTCAGCATTCATAAAAAAACTACTTAAAAATTTCACTCGCTGCAAAATTCTAATTCTTTCAAATAATCAAAATCATCCATTAGCATCTGGTTGATTTCAATAACGATATTAAAAATATGAAGAGAACCTAAGTACTGGAGTATCGAGTTAAGCGCTATTTCCCTAAAAGTTTCCTCCTTTGATAATATTTATTCTATTCTTTCAATAGTTAATAGCTCAGAAAAACGGAAATTGGACAAAATTATTTGTTAGATTTTTAATCTTAATGAAGCACTTTGCTTTTAAATGGATAATTATATTATTTTATGGACTGTTGTCAGGAAATCAGAGGTCGGAATTTTATTTAGAAATATTACAGATATATTTTGTCTGTCAAATAAGAAAATTCCTTTTAAATTTTTAAGTTCTGCCAGTTTTATTCCATAAAAAATCGGCCATTGAGTTATCGCGAAAATACCAATTAATTGGAAGCAATCAATCGGTTGAAATCTTAAGTTCCATGGTGGAAATCTAGTTGAGCTCTATAGATAAGTACAATCTCCTATTAAGAACAGTTTTGAATGAAAAAGATAATTAATGTTTAATGTTTATTCAAACTAAACCGATATAACAAAACCTGTTGAGTTAAACTGGTAAAAGAATTATGTTTATTTTAGACTTAAATTTTATATTAAATGTTTTAAATTTAATATTTCAGCTAGGCAATATTGGCCCAGAGTAAATTTTGAGAAATAACTTCATCAAGGTTGAGTAAAATTTTGTCTGTCAAAAATGTGAATACACACCCCAATTCTCTTACAGCTACTTAAGTATCATTCATTATAAATGTGCCACTGCCACCATGGAAATAAAAAGTAAAAAAGCATTAAAAAAAATTCAGGAGACTCCTCGGAGACTGGTTCCACTGGAGATCGCGAAGATGGTCGTCCAGCCGAAGACTATCTTGAGGTCAAAAATACACAAAACATTTTTCTTATATAATAATTCTTAATATAATATATTATAGGTTAAAACAATAAGTTTAAGTGTGTTACAAAGCTAATTTTACATGATGAATATTTAAAAACAATAATGTATGGTAAGTGAGCAAGCGTGATCTTGAGTGCACAATGCACAATGCACAACTTGTGCACTTGATCATGCATGCTCAGTTCAATATTATGGGTTCCTGGATTTTCCTCACAAGAAAATTTTAAATTACTAATTTCGGTTTAAAATAAAAATAAATAAAAATAAGATAAAACTTTACCTAATTTCTGTGTTGTATAGCATGTTACTTCTAGAAATAACCACAATGTATCAAGAAAAGTATACATCATTTTATGAAAATTAACTCTTATTTTGGACAAATGTATTTGTCATGTAAGATCTTGGAGATAATACATTTATATTTTATTTGTGGTCAGGAGGAGGATGAGAGTTTAAGATCTTGGGTCCCACCAGAGTTAAAATATCTTTTAAACAGGAAAGAATTTTCATTTTTTTCACAATAAAATATAATGATGTTTTTTTGTTGTTATTTTAACATTTTTTAAAGCTTTAATATATTTCTGAAGATTTCTTTTGTTAAAAAAGAAAAAATATTTAAAAAAATTGATGTGAAATAATTTACTTTTTCAGACCCTAATTGACTTAATATTGTTCTGAAAAGAAAGATAATCTTGTGTCAATTTGTATCACTTTATTTTGGAAAATTTTGGATAAAAAGTGGAATTTTAATTTTTTTTTGGACTGAAAAAAAACTTAAAAATGAGAAATGTAATTAAAGTTTCCACATGTTTGGTGAGTTAGACCCAGCTGTGTTTGCAGATATATATCCAGCAATAGAAACTATACGCGTCCCAGCCGGTCAATTCCTTTTCAGGTAAATCTTACTTCATCTGAGGAGTTTTGAACTCTTCTATTGTGAATATCGGGATCAATGCTTGAATCTCGATTTTTCGTTAATTTACAGATTAATCATTAAAGTAATTGTTAAAATTTTAACAATTATACATTATTATGCATGATACGATTTTGCCCGACAAACCAAACAAAGGAATTGAATCATTGTCACAAGCTATGATGTTCTAATCTCTATATCTTTGTAATCCAATGCCATAGACCTTAGATATTTCAAACTATGAATTCTGTTAGATGAAAATATCTAAGTTTGAAATATCAAAGGTTTACACCATCAGGTGAAAAAAAATATAGGTATTAGAAAATCAGAGTTTGTTACAAAGACTCAATTCCTTTTAAGCGAACCTTTATTCAAAGATGTTCAATAAGGGTGACTGCTTCTAAATGGGTCCCTTTTAACCTTTTTCTAAAGTAACGCAAGGATGAGATATTTTTGTTTTTCTAAACTATCTCGGGTGCATAAATCTGCATCTTGCAGAGAAACCGCAGTTAAAGTAAATAAAAAAACTAGAAAATTTATAATATCTCCATAATCCTTGTTAGGACAAAGGGTTCAGGGGTATATATCTGAATCAGACAAAGGTTTAAAGGTACAGATCTAAATCAGAAAAAGGTTTAAAGGTACAGATCTAAATCAGACAAAGTTTTAAAGGGTACAGATCTAAATCAGACAAAGGTTTGAAGGTACAGATCTTAATCAGACAAAGTTTTAAAGGGTACAGATCTAAATCATAAATCTATATTTGTATGAATATAGATATAATAAACAAAGGTTTAAAGGTACAGATCTAAATCTGATAAAGGTTTAAAGGTACAGATCTAAATCAGACAAAGGTTTAAAGGTACAGATTTAAATCTGATAAAGGTTTAAAGGTACAGATCTAAATCAGACAAAGGTTTAAAGGTACAGATTTAAATTAGACAAAGGTTTAAAGGTAAAGATCTGAATCAGACAAAGGTTTAAAGGTAAAGATCTGAATCAGACAAAGGTTTAAAGGTAACGATCTGAATCGGACAAAGATACAGATCTGAATCGGACATGCCAATAATGGAGAGTTACTTTATGTCTAGCGTCCCTTTATTATAGAATTGGAGAACCTGATGTGTACATATTTGTTGTACAGTACGGTATTCTAGTCGTGACTTCAACTGATGACAAGGGAACTTCAGAGATAAAGAAAGTTGGTCCAGGTAACATTATCACACTAAAGAGACAGTATATGTAATTTCAAAAGACTTTTCCCAATCCATTTTTGATTTGTTTATACCTTGTTTAAGTGTGAACTCTAAACTAAAATTCAATGAGAAACCGGAGAACTTATACAGTATAACAGTATAACACCGCAATTTTAAATCTTAAAATTTTAAAATATTAAAACAAGGATATCTGTCATAATTTTTGCTCAATCAAAACTTTAAAGAGTATTGTTGCAAATCCGGCATTTTCTTTCCAGTGTGAAGGGGGGGGGGGAGAGGTTCAGTATCCGTTGGGGCCGAAAAACCCCGTGAACAACATAGATTTCGCTGACCCAGGGGGGAGGGGGGACTTAGCCCCAATAAATTTAAATGTGTTGCAATTTTTTTTGCATTGTTTAGTTTATTTAAGTGCTACTTAGAATATGATTGTTCAAATGCACACATTTTCACTAACCCTTTTCCCTTGGACAACCTCCTCAACGTGTTTAAAGACATAACTGAAAAAGTATTGGTCTGAGACTGGTCAATTTTTTAAAACATTTCAAGCACATGATACTCAGTTAAAGATAAAAACTGGGCTGCTATACCTCCTGCCTGTGGTTCCAGCATACTGTTGTTGTTGTTGTTGTAGCCATTAATCCATAGTTGCGTATATCGACGTGAAAATTGGTTGTAAAGTTCTGCTGGCCAACAACTGAATGGGGTTTGGTTCGCACACTAGAGAAGTTTCTTACATCTGTTTCATGGACCTGCATACTTCATCGAACCTACTCAATTATTACATCAATCTAGCCTATTTGAGTGTTGGCAGGTTTGCATGTTATGTCATTCAGCGTAATGACCTCCGACAACGACTGTAATTTTATACCATACAGCATGATGCATGAATGATTCATTAAATCTTACTAAATCTATATTTGTATGAATATAGATATAATAATAATAAGAAATAATAAATATAAATATATAGTATTTATCAATTTGCTTTTTTTTTTGCACACGATTGAATTAGAACCCAATGGCTTTATAAATATGTATTAAATGTTATATGCTTCAAAAGAAAGCAATATGAACCCCCCAAGTATATTTTCTATTATGGAGAAACGCTGACTATTGTGTAGGAGAAAGACTGAAAAGTTTACTATTGTTAAGTAGAAACGCTGAGAAGTTTAGCTAAATCGCTAACAAGTTTACTATTGTTAATGAGAAACGCTGAAATGTTAAGCTGAAACGCTGACAAGTTTACTGTTTAAGAGAAACGCTGACAAGTTTACTGTTTAAGAGAAACGCTGACAAGTTTATTATTGTTAAGTAAAGACTCTGAGAAGTTAAGCTAAATCCCTAACAAGTTTACTATTGTCTAAGAGAAACGCTGACAAGTTTACTATTGATAAGGAGAAACGTTGACATGTGTACTATTGATAAGGAGAAACGTTGACATGCTAGGCTGAGACGCAGACGAGTTTGGCTGAATCGCTGACTGGTGTAGCTGGAACGTTGATAAATTTACTATTGTTTAAGAAAAACGCTGACAAATTTAGCTGAAACGCTGACAAGTTATTAATTGTTAAGGAGAAACGCTAACAAGTTTTCTGTTATAAATGAGAAACGCTAGAAAGTTTTATATTGTTTAGGAGAAAAACTGAAAAGCTTACTATTGTAAAGAAGAAACGCTGACAAGTTTACTTTTATAAAGGAGAAACGGTGACAAGTTTACTATTATAATGGAGAAACGCTGACAAGTTTAATAATGTAAATGAGAAACGCTGACAAGTTTACTATTATAAATGAGAAACGCTGACAAGTTTACTATTATAAAGAAGAAACGCTGACAAGACCACTATTATAATTGAAAAACGCTAAAAAGTTAACAATTGTTTAGGAGAAACACTGACAAGCTTACTGAGCTTTATTGACTCTTTGACCGGTCATGCCCAGCCCTACCGGACAGTGCAGGCCCGGGCATCAGTTGATAGTGTAGTTCTCAGGTAAGAAAATTGATAAAATAACGTATGAAAACAAAATGGCACACTACACACCATCGAAGTTTTCTAGGCCCGTCAGTAAAATGAAACTACCCCGTAACTAACAAACTTGAGTTTACAAGTGAATCGTTTTACTTTAAGTTTGCTTTTATTGAGCATTGAAATATGATTGTCCTGAAAAAAGGTACAATTATTCAAAAACGATCTTTATAACATGTTTTTTCTGGATCGATCGATTTTTTAGTCTATATCTTTCTGTCAGGGTCAAATTTGGCATAGTGTAAAAACAGAAAATACATTCTTTGGAATTTATAATTTATCCAAAGAAAATATTATAATAAACAATTTTGAAAACATTTACGTTTCTTACACTTCAACAAATTTTTACCTTGATAGAAAGGCACATAAAGATCTTGATAATTGATTTTCAGACATATCTATTAGCTATGTAAACTGGTTTTAATTTCATACGTTTCTGACATATTACACTTTTTTGAAAAATTAGTCTTTCAAGAATGAATTAGTAAATGATGTAAGTTTCCAAAGATTTATTTTCAAGTTTCTAGGTTGTCGGTTGAAGCATTTTTGACAGTGTTTGAGAAAAGTCCGGATGTGTTAATCCGTGTTGTCCAGATGATAATGGCGCGAGTACAGCGTGTTGTATTTGTAGCTCTGCATCAGTATCTAGGGCTCNATCTAGGACTCTCTAAGGTAAAATGAATGCTAGGATCCGTGTTGTGGATCTAGGTTTATCTAGTTTACCAGATTGATCTAGATTATTCTAGACTATTATAGATTATTCTAGGTTATTCTAGATTATTCTAGATTATTCTAGATTATTCTAGGTTATTCTAATTTATTCTAGGTTATTCTAGATTATTCTAGGTTAATCTATATTATTCTATTTTATTCTAGTTTATTCTAGATTCTTCTTGATTATTCTAGATTATTCTAGGTTATTCTAGTTTATTCTAGATTATTTAAGATATTTTAGATTATTGATTTTTCTAACGCCTTTTTATTTTACAATGTGTTCAGGAGTTAATTAAGCCAAGAGAGGAAGAATTTGGTTCAGAAATGTCTTTACAGATGGAGTTGGCTCTCGCTGGACAGGGTACAGTTTTGTCAACATTTTTGTCCTTTAAATATATGTCTGTGAGGGGGCGGGGGGTATCCAATGTTTTTGGGCCATACACTTATCTTATTGAATTTTTAAAATGATTGAAGTTGATTATTTTATGTTTTAGTTGATTTGGAAAATGCCCTTGAGGCTGCTATCCTTGGCCTCCAACACGAGCTTCATCTAGAGGATGATGTCTTCCTTAGGGAGGCTGTTCAAGGTACCTCAGGACAGATAACTGTTAATCTAGATAAATCTGGATTCAAGATCCAGATTTGTAATTAGGTTTTTTGGAATTGATTTTTTCCTAAAACAAAATACGTAGATATATTGTTTGAAGACAAACTGAAAAATCTTGTTTGAACTAGTTCATACGGGGATTAGCGGCGTTTCAGAAAACACTTTAGAATTAGGGAAAATTAGTGAAAATGACTGATCATTCTTTTATTATATTTTTTATAAAGTTGTGCGAAGAAAGCGAAAAATTTTGATGTTTTATTTTGGAAGATTTGGTGCCGATTTGCACAGCCTCAATATTTTCCAAAATATTACACAAAAGTTTTAAACAGATCATATTCAGCAAATACAGAACAAATCTGAAAATTAGAATAACCCAGAGGCCAGAGGTGCCTAAAAATTTTAGGTACGCTGCTATTATTATTTGAATAATTTTTATTCATTGTTAACAAATATAATTGACAGTATAATTTTACGTCTGTATCACATGACCAGAATTTCCACCAATGGCCGTTATTACGTATATATGAGTTTTGGTATAACTTTGACACAGTTTTATATCAAATTTTCGAGACAAGTACATCAGATAGAAATGATATTGGCCGTAATCAACTTCTAAAATTTCCCCTTCAATTTTACCATAATCTATTTCATTCTTCGTTAAACTTGTTTAAACTAATTCAGACCTTAGCTTAGTTTGGTTTAAACCAGTGCATACCTATTCAAACTAGTTAAAACACTAGTTAAAACTAGTTCAAAAATGTTCAAACAAAACTGGTTCAAATGAGTTCTTTAAAAAGTGAAAACTTGTTCAAACTAGTCGAAAATTGTTCAAACTAATGCAAACTTGGAAAACTGTCCTGTCCTTGGTAAAACTATTTTAAACTTGCAAACTAGTTCACACTTGTTTAAATTTGTTCAAACTAGTTTAAACTAGTTCACACTTGTTTAAACTTGTTCAAACGTGTTTAAACTTGTTCAAACGTGTTTAAACTTGTTCAAACTAGTTTAAACTTGTTCAGCTTGTTCAAACTTGTTCAAACTTGTTCAAACTTGTTCAAACTTGTTGAAACTATTAAAAACTTGTTTAGTACGATGGTTGGAGACCGATGAGTCGTTAATGACGGAATCCAGCTACAGCGAGGCCGCTCTTGTTTTCATTATTCAGGTTAAATTATTTCATTCAAATGCTTTTCCTTCGGCAACATAGCGCGCAATAATTTGAGCCCGATCGGTTTAGTCGTTTTGGGGTTTATTGGATACAAACAAACCGTCAAACACTTAGACAGACAAACAGAATGTTCGCACCTTTATTTCTCGTAATGATTGTACATAAAATTAGCTGGTAAAAATTTCTTACATTTCAACAAAAAAAATCTGAACTTGTCAGAGACTTGTGTTTTTAAAACAGNATGATACTTTTTTACCCTAATTAATAGCATTTTATTTTCCCCTTTTTAAAAAGTTTAGTTCCCCCAATAAAATCTTTACATTGCTGGTTCAATACATTTTTAAGTAGAGGTAAGCGATATTTCTATGAAAAGATGGCAACCCAAGAAAGAACAGTACCCAAGAAATCTTTATTTGATAAATATTGGCGTTCAAAATTCTGATAGTTCCAATATGTTTTTGTGCAGTAGAATGCACAAGTCACCACAATTGTAAAAAATCTGTTTTCCAAATACAAACTTTGATATCTAATCCTTACTTGACCAGCTTTTAAGGGTACCGTTGTCAATCGGACATTGCCATTTTTCCATGAAGGTTCACTTGACATTACGCATATCGTCCCCCTCAGAATAGATTAATTTAATAAAGAAAATTTACAGCCCAGAAAAACGTTGATAAACCCTTTAAGGCGAGGCGAACTTCTACACGTGTAAGGCTCGGAGTAGAGTTCTGGTTGGTCTGCTCACTAAGACCTCGTTCTACTCCCTGGTAGCCACTAAACCGGAGGTCATCCTCTCACTGGCACACTCAACTATACGCAGGAACCAAACCAAACATATTTGGAAGTTCAGTTGGGTTATAAATGTTTAAGGGATGTAATATTTGTAAAATGATTTATCTTGCAGTACGAAGTTCGCTTTGATCTCTATCTTATGCAGATCTTCAGATTCAAATAATTACTCTTAACAACTTAAATTGAGGGATTAAACATTGATCTTTACATTCAAAAGTGTCAACATTGGATATCGGGATTAAGCGTTCACGATTAACAATATCCACACCACTCTAAAAATCCGATCTCAAGTAAAATTTTACTGTTTTGGCGAAGTTTCTATGACATTATTTGGTTTGGTTTCTAGTCTATCTCCTCTGGTCCGGCGAATAGATTTTGCTCTAGATTGGTTAAATGTTGAAGGGGGGCGGGGGATAACGCCCCCTCTGCATCAACCCAACTCTAGTTATCTTGTTCTATCCGGTAGACTCAGGGGGTACTCCGTCAAGGGGGACACAAGGTACAAAAAAATGTATGAATTTTTGATCAATAAATATATGAACATTTTTTTTGATCAAAAATTGCCCCTTAGGCTATGTAATTTTTTTTTTGAACCAATTCGGTTTACCCTTTTAACGCTCATTGAATAAAAAACAAATGAACAGACATACTAAATATACCTTTATAAAGCTTATATAAGATGCAAAAACTGTTTTGATTTGATTAAAATTTATCTCTCTTTTTTATTGAATAATTTTCCTCATCTTTCAACTTTTTTCCAATGAATGTTTGTATAGTTGTAATTACTCTTGACATCTGACGTACACACTGAATTCTAAAAAAATAGCAGTCGGATACGATTCACTAAATCTCAATCAGACAAGGGCAAAGGGCAAGTAGCTCAAGCAAAGTAACATAGCCTGCAGGACATGGTACTTTGACTGTTGGTTTAATAATAATGATAATGATGATAATAATAATACCTTTGCCACATTTTAATTTAGAGAGTTGGTGGGTGAGTATGGAAAGGGAGATATGGTTGGTATTGTAGATGTTATAACAGGTATTATATTTTCTTATTGTTATTTTCTTTTTAACTTATCTTTGTCATTATGATTATTTTTATTGGCATACTTGTTATGATACGTATTTTATTATCACCATGTTTTTAATTTATCTTTGATATTAATGTCATTATGGTTATTCTTGTTGTCATTATTGTTACACTGGGTATTTTATTATCAAAATTTTTTCCATTTATCTATGATATTAATGTTATTGTTCTTAGTTAATATAAGCATTTGAAATAATCTTTTTAATTTTAATAATTTTGTCTTGGTTCTCAAAATTAAGGGTTGAGGAAGGGGGGGGGGGAG